TCTGTGATGTCGTTGTGCCATGCGGTTTTGCGCGGCCTCGGTGGAAGGTGCGTTGGCGCGAGTCCGTGCCGCTGGGGGGAGGAAATCGCGCGGGTGTAAATTCGGCGTGTCGCTGGAGCGGGATGATGGGCGGCGCAAACGACGCTTGGTGTTATGTTGTTGTATCTTCTCTGTCGCGCGTGCATCACAAGGAAGTCAACCGAGCTGAATGTCATCTGTGGCCAGAGCTGCCGACGGCGCGGGTGGGAGTATGCTTTCTGGTGTGGCAACAGTCGGGTAGGCGTTGCGCTTTCCCCTGCTTTGCGTTCTGATCCTCCTGAAAGCAGATCTGGCTGCGCGCGCTTTGCGAAATTGCCGGCGGGAATGTGGTGGGGGCTGGAGTTTCGGAAAGGGGTAGTTTTCAATTTTCATGTCCAAACCATTGCGCGTGTATCCCTTAAATCCATTGCTGCCTTTTGTGTACCCTTGAACCCTGTTTTTTGCGACGCTGAGGTTCGCCAGTACTGAGTGTCTTCGTGTCAGCGAAAAAGGGCGACCTACTGAGACAGCAGAGTGTCTTGGATGGGGCTGTGCGTTCAATGAAAAACATTTTTTGCGGACCCATGGGGACCTTTTGTCAGGGATGGGGCAACATATTGACGATGGGCCTTGTGCATGCTGAGCTTTGCTACCAAGCCGGTTCTTGACTCATGGCATTCACGCCTACAGTCTTTCCGTCTTTCCTTCCGGCCCCGAGGTGTTTCAACAAAGATTCTGACTGGCAAAGATTCAATTTAGAAAACCTAGTTCTTGAACGCCCAACAATAACGTATAAAATGTTCAAAGGAAGTTTAGAGGAACTTCCGTGTTACGAACTTTTTCATTAGCTGTAATTCTAGTGAATTGTTCTACCACGGATCTCTAGCTGCAGTTCATTGTCCAGTTCATTGTTCTACCATTGATCTCTAGCTCTGGTTAATTGTTCAATACACCACTCATCATACACCACTCATCAGACACCACTCATCATACATCGCTGATCATGCACCACTCATCATACACCACTTGTCATACACCACTTAGCGTACGCCGCTCATCATACGCCACTCATCATACACCACTCATCAGACACCGCTCATCACTCACCACTTATCATCCACCACTCATCATCCACTTAGCTCTAGGTTGAGTTAGCTCTATCCAGCTCCAGGTAGCTCTAGTTTCAATAACCTCGACGGGGAAGCTCCGCGGAACGACGGTTTCCGGACAGTCTCGGGTCATCCCTCCATTGTGGTTAGAGTTTTCACTTGTTTCTTGAAGTGCAGATTTCGTGGCAGGCGCAGCGCTTTGTGAACCTCGATGTGCAGATTTCGCGGCAGGCATAGCGCTTTGAACCTCCATGTGCAGATTTCGTGGCATGCGCAGCGCTTTGTGAACCTCCATGTGCAGAATTCGTGGCAGGTGTAGCGCTTTGTGAACCGCGAGGTGCAGAATTCGTGGCAGGTGTAGCGCTTTGTGAACCGCGAGGTGCAGATTTCGTGGCAGGCACAGCACTTTGTGACCTCCATGTGCAGATGTCGTGGCAGGCACAGCACTTTGTGAACCTCGATGTGCAGACTTCGTGGCAGGCGCAGCACTTTGTGAACCTCAACGCGCAGATTTCGTGGCATGCGCAGCGCTTTGTGAACCTCCATGTGCAGAATTCGTGGCAGGCGCAGCGCTTTGTGAACCTCGATGTGCAGATTTCGTGGCAGACGCAGAACTTTGTGAACCTTCATGTGCAGATTTCGTGGCAGGCGCAGTGCTTTGTGAACCTTGGAGGCTGAGAACTGGCGACTTTGTAGTGCAACTTTAGTACGCGGAGTATCGAGAACTGGCGACTTTGTAGTACAACTTTAGTGCACGGAGCAATCTGTGGAGCTGGAAGCTGAGAACTGGCGACTTTGTAGTACAACTTTAGTACGCGGAGCAATCTGTGGAGCTGGAGGCTGAGAACTGGCGACTGTAGTACAACTTTAGTACATCAGGGAGCACAGACCTTGCACAGGTGGCGCTGTGTTGGTCAAAAGTCCGGAGCGCATGCGTCTGACTGAGGGACACGAGGGACACGCATGGTGGAAAGAACCGGGACACTATTTGTTCCCCAATAGCCATGCTATGGGGTCTTGCAAAACTATTAGGCGGACGGGCGCCGTCGGGTCACCGTCAGAGCTGGTGGGCGGATGGTGTCCCGGTCATGTTTTGATGGCGTCCGGGTCATGTGATGCTGGCGTCCCGGTGTCCCGATCATGTTTTGATTGTGACCCAATCATGTTGTGATGGTGTCCCGGTCCTGTTTTGATGGTGTCCCG